GATCTGCTGAAAACAAAACGGAGACGCCGACCAGAGATCTGGCCCTTTCAGGCAGTAAGAGGGTGGGATCCCACGAACTGCAGATGGCATCGTGCGTGTTCACACGGCCACGCGCCTTGTCTCCTGGACAGGCCTCTTGATCAAACAAGGTGGCTGAGCCGGACGACAAAATGCGCTGCACCACGATCACGCTCGGTACGAGACGCGATTCTCACGCGGGAAACACGATCTTATCAAAGATTCAGTAAATCTGTTCAAGAGCTGAGAGATTTTGAATTTCCAAGCACTAACACGCTCAACCTGACTTAAAAACAGCCAGAGGTTAATGGCGGCATTTCTGCACAAAGCTTTTTCATATTTATCACCTTCCTAAATATTTATGTATGTTCTCTAGAAACAAGAAGGCCACTAAGCAGAGGCGGGGAGCCTAGGGATGTGAGGCGCTGCTTATGACAATGCTCGCTAAACGGTGTTTTTCTTCATCTTCCTATAATGCTCAAGGGAAAACCTGTTCAAAACACATCGCGTCAAGGGGCGCCCGGGTCGTGGCCCCCAGTCCGGAGCTCCGGGAACCGCCATCTCCAACAGGGAAGGCGGGAGAAGAGAGTGGCCATGTCACTGGGGCCGGCACGACGCGAGAGCTGCTCCCCTGCACACATGGAAGGATGCCCGCCCTCCCGCCAGGCCAGCAGGGCCACGGTAGGGACGTGTGAGAGCTGGCGCGGTCTGGAAACGCGCCGACTCCCGGTCCACCCCCGAGCCGAAGGCCGGGGAAGGGGAGGACACGGGCCCCACGAACGAAGGCGGAGGTGGAGGCAGAGGAGGCAGTCGCTCTTTCTTCGAGTTGGAAAACCGTCCAAACAATGTAATTTCTATGAGCTTTAATGAGAAAAAATACTGCGGTAAAAAAAAAAGGGGGGAACAAACTCCGCGGAGAGCTGAAGCTTCACTGCACAGATTTCAACACGCGCCCTCGAGGCAGCCTGAACCGGGGGCAGGACAGCGCCCCGTCCAGAGCCGGCCAGCCAGGCGACGACCTGGCACGATGCCGGCACATACGCTACCCACCACTGCCGGAGAGCAGAGATCACGGTGCTGAGAAAAACTGCAAGTCATTTCCAGTAAAAGCCAATTCCACTAATTTACCCTGAATAATTTACCTAAAATAATCAACGTAAAAATAGGATGCTATCAACTCACTCGTGACTTTTCAGGAATGCTGTTTTTATTACTTTAGTTTAGTATTTGGTTTGGTGTAACCGCCTAATCACGATCGAATCCAAGTGTGACGACGTCGTGGTCAGGGGCTCAGAAGAGCCTTGAGTCCCCGGACGACGCCCCCAGGAACTCAGGTGGCTTAAACCGACACGTACGTGATCTTGGGAACACACCCTCGGCCTTCAGAGGACACAGGGGAATGCAGCCAGACTGTGAGAGGCTCGATGTCTCCCTCCTCGACTCTCGCCCATACTCTCACCTGAAAGTGACTTTTGCCCACCTCACATCTCCAAATAACCCCTTCTCAAACTGCTCGGATGCAGAAACCTCTTAAAACCAACAGACAGTTTAAAATACTGGCGTTAATGCGGTCCGGCAGTGTGCTCTAAAGCTCTCATAAAATAGTAAAGAAATCGGCTTCAATAAATTTTCGGCTAATAGGTCACTCGTTTTTGGTGATGGAACTTTCAGGTCTTTTGGGCATCTCGGCGCATGTGAAGCTCAATTTCAGAAACACTACGGTAACAGAACTCTCCCTGCTCCCATCCACTTATGAACAAAAGCCTACGGCTTCCTTAAACATGAAGGGACAAGCAGGCACAAGATCGATGCTGAGCCGTGGGGGCCAACTTTCTCCATGTCAAAGAACAGAGTTCCAGAGACAGAAATGAGATGACTAGAAGGGATTCTGGGATGTTCGACCAGAGGTATAAGCATAAACCTCAGAGAGACAAAGAAAGAAAATGGACGTGAAGACTTATGTGTAAACTCTCTTCACAAATAGTGAGGGGGAGCAGGACGCGTCACTGGAGAAACCCAGCAGACAGCACCTCAGCTGAGTGAGCAAAGTTCCCGCCACCAGTAGTGGTATGTGGCCGCCTGCAGGGGATACGGGGAGAACCTATGATTCTGTGATACTCCTGTCGAAATTGCAACCTTAAAACAATCACGAGGAAACAGCAGACAAAACCAAATTAAGATGCAAGTAAGTGGCCTGTGTGCTTCAAAAACGCCAGCGCCAGGAAGGGCGGAGCGAGGAGCGGTTCCCGCGTAAAGGGGGCTGAGGAGGCCTCGAGGGTCAAGGCGCCTGTCAGGAGCCGACGTGTGCCCCCCAAACTCAGACAGTGGACCCCTAATCCCAGCACCTTAGAGAATGATCACAATTATAGAGGGGCTTTTAAAGAGGTGATTAAGGTAAGATGAGCTCAACAGGTGGGCCCTAACCGAATAACATGCGTCCTTACTCGAAGAGCTCAGGACACAGACACTCGCAGAGGAAAGCCCATGTGAACACAGGAGGCGCCACCTACGAGCCAAGGAGAACGGCCTCAGAAGAAACCAAACCTACCTATGCCTTGACCGTGGACTTCCAGTTACCAGAAATGCAGAAAATAAACTTTGTTGTTTAAACCAGGGGTCCCCAACCCCTGGGCCGCAGGCCAATACCAGTCTGTGGCCTGTTAGGATCTGGGCCACAGAGCAGGTGAGCGGAGGGCGAGTGAGCAAAGCTCCATCTCTATCTGCAGCCGCTCCCCAGCGCCAGCATCACCGCCTCAGCTCCGCCTCAGATCACCAGGCATCAGATTCTCACAGGAGCCACAAAGGTTGGGGACAGTTGGTTGAACCACCCAGGCTATGGTATTTGCTATGGTAGCCCTAACAAAGCAATACAGTACCAATGAGAATTTCTTGATTCTATAAACTATGCAGTAGAAAAAGAAGATAATATCCTTGTTTTGGGAAAATACAAACTGAAGTATTTAGTGGTTCTGAGACACTGTCTGAGACATATTCTCAAACACATCAGAGAAAGCTGGTCTCTAGGATGAGAGACGGAGGAGACCATCACAGCAAAAATGACAACAGACTCGCTGCTGGGGGCAGGGGGAAAGGTCTATGGAATTCTTTGCACTATTTTTGCAACTTTGCTTTCTGTCTGAAATTATTTTAAATTATTTCAAAATAAAAAGTGTAAAAAACTTAGTTTTACTCTAATAGGGTGAAACCTATGAATGGGTACGGTACAGTAACTATTTTTGTTTTAAGCCACAGCCATCTCATTAAGAAACGATAGTTTCCAATAATTCATGCTTTTCATTTTTGACATTTATCAAAATATTTCATAAGATGCTCGCTTTGATCACACAGATACTAATAAGGCTCATATAATCTACTACTATGACATATACTAACCACAACCCAAAATTAATTTATAAAACCCATTATAAATGTTTGGTTTAGAATATTATCTTAGGGCGACTCATAAAACACTTTTTAACATATAAATATATCAGAATAAACTTTTGCAGGGTAACAGAAGTACAAGTTCGGAGAGAAAAGGGAACGATGCTGCGTTTCCAGTCGTGCGAGCCCGTCGCTGTATCGTTTTGAATGGACTACAAGGGTGTCCGGTTGCTACAGCGCTTAGTTTCCACCGGGTTCACTTTTAAAAATAAGAAAACCTGATTGGCTAAAGAAGCTGTGGTACATATATACAATGGAGTATGACTCAGCCATAGAGATGAAATACTGTCATTTGCAACAACATGGATGGACCTCAAGATAATCATACTAAGCGAAATAAGCCAAACAGAAAAGGTTGAAAATCATATGATAGCACATATGTGGGATATAAACCTAAAAGCAACAATGAACAGGACAGAGACTCATGGACATGGACAATGGACTAGTGGTGACCAGAAGGGAGGGGGAAAATAAAAAAATAAAATGTTAAAAAGAATTATGTATATATAGTATGAAAAAAATGTTAAAGTGGCATTTAAAAAAATAAAAATAAGAAAATCAATATTCAGAGTGTACTGGAAATAACATTCTCTGCAACTTTTAATGTTTGAAGCATCATATATATTTGACTGTTATTAGTTTATTTCTGATGAGCTAAGTGACAGTAAATGCCCCATGATCGGGCCCCGCCGTGACATGAAGCGGGGTGGGCACTTTTGCTAAATAACAGCGCAGGCTGGACTGCCGCGGTGACCTCTGGTCACGGGAGCATGAGTTTCACCGTTTTTGCTCCTAGTCGTCACTCAGCAGTTTCCACTGGTCACAGGTTCGTCCTGTGGACTCGGCTCCATGTCCAGAAAGGTGACTACTCTAAACCATCACGTGGTAACCACCATTCACAGTGGCTGAGCTTGACACAGAGGTTAACAAAATTCTGCCTAACTTCAAAATTCCAGCGACGTCACTAAAAGGTGACTAGAACTTATAGAATACTAAACGCTCATCTCATTTAAAATATGAAAGCGTAATCGAAAGGTGATAAACTCAACTGCTTTCGAGTGAGATGCCATAAAATAAAGAGAAGCTCGTTTTATCACTCAGGAAACGGGCGAGGCCCGCCGTGAGGGCTGCGTGGGTGACACCTGTGACAAGGGGGCCAAGCAGTCGCCTCGCTTCTCCCGAGAACCTTTCCTGTCACGACTCTTCCGTACAACAATCTCAAACGCAGCACGTGTGACAAACAGCAAGGGTTCAGAAAACATTTTCCTTACTCGTTTCACTATGATCCTGTGAAATATAAACCTTATGCTGAACATCTTACCTTTAACTTCACTTTTCTTTTTAACAAATTCACGCCTTCAAGTCAAGTATTAAATTTTTATGTCTTCCAAGGCATTTTAAGGCATTTCCTAAAACATGTGCCACCAGGAATCACTGTTTCTGGTTTACGAAGGAAACTTAAATGGAAAAAAAAACTTAAACTACTTTAAGGTTTTACAATTGAGTAGTAAGAAAGGTATCGAACGATTATTACTTACGTTGGCACAGTGTAAGGCTAAAGCACAAAAGACGGCAAACATTTTGAAGTTGTTTTCATCCGTTTTGGAGAAGGCACTGCCACTGATTTTGTTCACCATCTGCACCACCCCGATCACGCTCCCTCGACTGACGATGGGCATGCACAGGATGTTGCGGGTGGTGTAGCCTGTGTACAAGTCCACTTCTCTGTGGGGGGGTTCGGGCACAAACACCACCACAAATGGAAAAAGAGAAAGGAAGAAGATCAACTACACGTGCATCGCAAATCCCGACTCACTTTTGCAATTCACATGCTTCTGTTACAAATAACTATAATGGAACCGTTAGCTTCTAAAAGTCAAGGACGATGTGACAAATTTAAAGTGTTTTATTAAAACCTTTTTAAAAAATTTTCTAACCAACATCGTTTTGTTTCTTTGAGAGTTTTTCAGAAGTGTCTGGGAGGCCTTCAGCTTATTGTTCGGTTTTAAGTAGCCGGTATTACTATGAAATCGCAAACTGTGGATTCAGAGAAAAATATAATAAACTTGGTAAAATAACATGTTCCTTTGAATGTGGTTACATTTGTGAAAGATGCAACTTGCTTAACAAACAAGAAGGGGAACCGTCAACTAAAACTCAGAGCAGGGGTCAGCACACTCTGCCCAGGCCACGGCAGCCCGCTCCTGTTTCTAGACAGGGTCTTAACAGGACATGACCGTGCCTTCCTTAACGATTGCCACCACCCTGTGACAAAGACATTAAGGCCCATAAAGACAGAAGCACTACTGCCTGATCCTTCACAGAAAAGGTCTGCTGACTCTGATTCAGAGGAAACGGCTTTTGAAAATAAGATTCGGTTCCACAGAAGCAGCCATATAACCAAAAGTGGCTCGTCAGACAGTAGTCTTCGGTGCCCGGCCTCTCTCCCCTAGAGGAATGTTTTGGGGAGCACTTCCATGCTGCTGCCTGTGTCTGGTTGCTGAGCAGTGTCCCACGGCACGGATATAGTGCATCTCATTTATCTATTCACTAGTTAATGGACGTCATTATTTGCTAACAGCCAATTTGGGGCAATTCTGAATAATGCTGCTTTGAAGATGTGCATGCACATCTTCGTGTTGATGGATGTTACCATTTTTCTTAGATACCTAAGAGCGGGACTGGCTGAGCACAGTCAGTGTACACTTAAATTTACGAGAAACTGCGAAACTGTCTTCCAATGGGTGCGCCGTTATACACCCCATCGCAAAGTATGTGCGCCCCAGTTTCCACACGCCCTTGCCCACCCTTGCTCGTGTCAGTCTGTTAAAACGTTAGCCGTTCGGGCTGGTGTGCAAAGGGACTTGTCCGTCCAGTCTACCTCTCCCTCACATCAAGCGCCTCGTCACGTGTCTAAAGGCCATTCGTATCTTTTCTCTGTGAAGTATCTGCTAAAACCTTGTGCCATGTTTATTAAATTGGGTTATCTTACTTGTTATGTTGGAAAAGTTGTTTATATATTTTAGATACAGTATTTTGTCAGATAAACATTGTGTAAATATTTCTTACCATCTGTTACTTTCCTTTCATGTTAATAGTTGGTCCAGACATTTTCATATAAAGGTTTCATATAAGGATATGTAAATATTTTCAATTTGTAAGCTCTAAAATAAGTTTGTTTTCTTTAAAAAAAACAGATTTTCAGCATACTCTTTATTGGTAAGACAGATTACTAGACTATAGCTGTGCTTATATAAGAGTTTTACGTATTTGACATTAATCAAATGTCTGATAAAACTTCCTATTACTGATGTTAGTCAATTGCTCCTTAAAATAAAGCAAACATTTGAATTACCCACATACGGTGGTCGAACTTTCTAGACTTTTACTCAACGGTCACAGCATCAGTCTTGATACTCAATTTCTAGAGATTTATTAAAACCACATTCATATAATTTGGTTTCCAGTTCTCAAAAGAAACTCAAAAGAAACCAAAATTTGTATAAGCCATCTAACTCAACTTTAATAATATCGGATAAAAGCGGCAACCTTTTGAGTTCCTACTTTTGCGTGTCAGGTAAAGCCGACATTGTATGAATATCATGTCTAATCTTAAAAACAAAAACAAAACTACAAAACAGGCATTATTGTTCCCATTTTAACGACGAGGAAATTCAGGCTCAGAGACATGAAGTAGCTTAATCCAGGTCACTCTAGAACAAACAAATGGCAGAACCGTTCCACAAATGTTAGCGATCATATTCGCTTCTAGTCTCTTCTTTTCTTCTTGAAAGAAACGTGAAAGATAAGCTGGGGTGGGGTGGCCCCTGTGTCGCTTCCCAACCCAATTGTCTTCCCCTCTCCCACCGCATAAATGTAGAGCACGTGCATGCTTGCTGGGTTCCCATCTTTACAGTACATCAATCTGTTGAATAAATAATACACACCCTGAGTATTTTGCAAAGTTTGCGTAAATGGCATACTACGTCACGTCTCTTTCTGCATCTTTTTCATTCACCACTATTTCTGAACTCATGCATCATTTTAACTGTTAATTATCTTCCTCTTATGAATATACCATAATTTAATAAACCATTTCCAACTGGTAAAAACAAAATGTCAGTACTTTTATCACTACGTGTTATGCAGCCTTTTAGAATATGGTTCAGTAGAGAAAATATCAGAACAAAATGACAACACTATAATGAAAGCAAGCAGCTTTATATACTTAAACTCATGCTTTTTAGTTGCTTTTATAGGATTTTCATCTATAGCTGAAAATCACTCATGGTCGAGCATTTTGTAAATATCTGAAACCGTCATTTTGTAAATATCTGAAAACTGCGAGAGTACTGGTCACCGCTGGTTCCAGGAAAGTAGAACAGAGAGCTGAGCAGGAAGGAACGGCCGAGCCGGGCGCCAACGGGCGCCACCCAGAGGCTCCAGCCGGCAGTGCAGGAAGGGCGCGCAGGCCGACTCTCACCTGTTGAAGCGCGGGTCCGCGTAGGCATCGGGGATGTTCAGCACTTCGCCCGTTCTCGCTACTTGACCAGCAATGCCTTTCTCAATTGAAAATCTGCACATACAAAACAGAGGAACATGGCAATTAGCATACAGGTGTGTGAAATAATTCGCAGCACTTCGCTACCACCAAATATTGAACGAAAGAGCATTGCCGCATTTTAAATGCTGTATTAACTTTTCATTTACACATTCTGAATCATCTTATAATTTACAAGATGCTTCGACATAAATTTTCTCAATTACTTCTCACTGTGGTGTGAACTGAGACGGATGTGTTCAGCGGCTTGCTAAAATTCCTGAAGTGTCAGTGGCACAATGAAAACACGAATGCAGGTGAACGCCAACGTGCCTTCTCCACGCACACACCCAGAGTCACACCTACTACACACATGCAGAGTCACACCTACGACACACGCAGTCAGACCTTCTACCACACGTGACCAGATTCACACCTACAACATACGCAGTCACATCTACTACACACGCAGTCACACCTTCTACCATGCACGCACCCAGAGTCACGCCTTCCACCACAAAAACCAGATTCACACCTACGACACACGCAGTCACACCTTCTACCACGCACACACCCAGAGTCACACCTACGACAGTCACACCTCCTCCCACACACACACCGAGTCACACCTACGACAGTCACACTTTCTCCCACGCAGTCACTTTCTACCACACACGCAGTCATACCTACCACATGCACACCCAGTCACACCTCCTACCACACACACAGTCACACCTACGACACACACAGTCACACCTTCTACCACACAAAAACCAGTCACACCTACCACACACAAAAACCAGATTCACACCTATGATATACACAGTCACACCTACTACACATGCAGTGACACCTTCTACCACACACGTGACCAGATTCACACCTTCTACCACACACGTGACCAGATTCACACCTTCTACCACACACGCAACCAGATTCACACCTTCTACAACACGCGCAGTCACACCTACTACCCATACAGTCAGTCACACTTTCTCCCACACACACACCGAGTCACACCTACCACACATGCAACCAGAGTCACACCTTCTACGATACATGCAGTCACACCTTCTACCACACACGCATTCACACCTACTACGCACGCAGTCACACCTTCTACCACACACGCAGTCACACCTACTACACACAGAACCAGAATCATACCTTCTACCACACACACTAGAGTCACACCTTCTACCACACGCGCAGAATCATACCTACTACATACGCAGTCACACCTTCTACCACACACAACCAAACTCACACCTTCTACCACACACGCAACCAGACTCACACCTTCTACCACACGTGTGACTAGATCACACCTTCTACCACACTCACGACCAGAGTCACATGTTATGTCTGATCTTGAGATACTACACAGGACGGGAATTTTAAGGCATTTGCAATACAAACATTGTATAAAAATAACACGATTTATAACTTCTAGTATTTTTACTTAATTTGTTAAATTTAAAAACAGTCAAAACACAAGCATTATCTGAATCTACTTAATTATGTTTTGATATCTAACATCAGCATCTTATATTGTAAATGCATCCTCATATTTCTGAATAGTTTTCTCATTACAATATCATTAGTCGTGCACTCATTTTGAAATTTAGTTAAAAAGGATGTCTAAAATCCACAATATCTACAGATTTCAATGGCTGCAAAATAGCTTTCATAGTATGACATTTTCAACATTGTAGGAGAAAATCATTATTGAAATAAAGCTCTACCCCAAGGATTTTTCCCTCAGGAGAATTTGAAAGAGAATTGATACACTTAAAACACCAATAACTGCCCCCGACTCTGCATAAAATCAGGTTGTTGGTATGAAGGCAAAAACGCAGCCTGCCATGGGCAAAGAACATCAGGTGCCACTGCGTGCCCATGCTAGCTTTCTCGGCCTGGGGGTCGCCCGACTGTGCCTGCTCACTCTCCGTGCTGCTGTCCCTGGTCGGTGGCAGCCGTGACTGAGCAGTGGCCCTCAGAGACCAGGCAGCTCAGAGAGTGACCGTGAGCCACGTCCCCTCACAGTGTCTCATGTGCTCGTGGGAACAGGCTCCCCATTTTCATCTTCAAAATAAGATCGATGCCAGAACTGGCAGGGGCACTGGGACCCTCAGCGACAGAACCGACTTTACCTAAATGACTACATCTGCACTGATTTACTGAGGTCTGAAGAAACCAACCGACCAAAAATATAACAATGACAAAAAAAACTAGCGCCTCTGAGTTGAGCTAGGAGCGTGGGACGCAGGCTCCATGCCCTAGGACGTGGAACGGGGGTGAGTGCCCCGTGGGAGGCAGAGGTGACACCGTGTCCTTCCCACCTGGTGAGCTCCCTCCACAACAGGCGCCCAAAGGAACTGCGGTTCATTAGTGAGGAAGAGGGACTTTAGGGTGGCGACGCCCGAAGCACTCCACAGTATCATGTGGAAAAGTTCAAAGCCACAGAAAGGAGGAAGAATGCAAATGTCTCGAAAATAGACCCAAGTTTTGAATGTTAACCTAGATTCTTAAAAGTTTTGTGACCGTGCTCCTTGTAGGTGTTCGGACTGTGACACGTCGGAGCCACCATGCGTCAACCAGCGGAACGAGCTCCACTCTGTTCACTTAAGTGACCGAAGCTGCCACTTATGGAAACAAACAGGGCTTTCATTTCGAGACACAACAAGGGTGTCACACGACTGATTAAAGCACCTGCTCAGTGGCCCCTACAGGCTGGGGTGTTGGGCCGGGGGGGGTGGCGTGCCAGCCTGTCCTACGTACGCCCTGCTCTTAGGCACGGGAAACCCTGCGGACTCCAGGCGGGGTGCACCTTTACCTACCTGGGGGCACTAGTAAGGTTTTCCGCCATGATTTCCAAAAGGACCGCCTCCGGAAGACGGCGTTTCCAGGAGTGACGCTAACGCTTCCTAGGCGCGGTTTCGCTGGCACTGCAATGTCATTCCCAGAAGCACTACCTTCAGGAGGCGGGTCCTGGTGGGAATGATATCACAGTGTGACAAGTGCTGTCAGCATACCTGCGGACAGGCACAGGAGAGAGGGCGACAGGGCACCTGCGCGCTGCGGCGGCAGCGGGCGGGACGCTACTTCCGCTGTACCTGATCTCTTTGGTCTTCTTGAAGATGGGCCTCCCCTCCTTCTCCTCTCCGATGTCGAACAGGTCGGAGTACAGCTCCTTGTTCTTGTGGTCCACCTGGAACAGGGCGCAGCGGTCGGCGTTCACCAGGTTTTTCGCGTAGATCTGAAAATGAGCAGCGGAATGAGAGGCGGCCGGCGAGAAGCCTCGGGCTGACGCGCAAACTTCGTCAGGCAGAAACGTTAAAATGAATGTTAGAATAAATAAACAAAAAAGTTCTATACTCTCGATCGGGTGGGAAATTAGCATTGTACTGAATACAGGTCTATGGACACAGAAAACACGCGTCGCTGTTAATGTACTAGCATCGGCGACACCTACGTGAACGAATAAACAGCTGCCGATCATCCAAGGTCACGGCGCCGGATGCGGAAATGCAGGTGAGCCCTGAGCCGACCCCCCGCCCAGTCGAAAATGCACAGATCGTTTTGACTGCCCCAAAACATAACTACACCAGGGGACCCTTGGCATCGGTGGGGGCCTGGGCCCTGGGTCCCAATGGGTCCCCGAATCACGGATGCTGGAGCCCCCTGGGTAAGATGCCGCCGCCTCTGCGGGCACCCGGCCATGGACCCCAAACAGCACAGGTCCTCGTTCCAAACGTCTGCGTGGAGGTGGCCCTGGGCAGTTCCGCCCCGTGCTCACGGGCAAGTGAACCACGACACTGCCCAAGGGCTGGGAAGCAGCCGGCAGCCTGACCCCCAAGAGTCCTTCCACCCCCCCCAGGCTCCCTTACAGACCCCGCCAGGCCCCGCTGGGGCGCTGGGCTGAGGCTCCCTCTGCTCTCGAGGCAGTTTCCGGTCTGACTGGCTGCTGAGTGACATACCGGGTATAAAAAATATGACTGAGACACAGTGTTCCCGTTTACCTTAACTGCATTTTATCTGTTGCATTAATAATATGTAACAATTACTAAGAGTTCAGTAGGTGCCAGGCGTTTTTTATATACCTTACGAGCATTCATTCGCTTAGTCGTCACGACAACAATATCAAGTCAGGAAAAACGTAATCTTCACATGACACAGTATCAGGGAAACTGAGGCCCAGAGAAGTAGCTTGTCTGGGAAATGGCGGGTCGAGTATTCGAACGCATCCTCGTTGCCTCAGTGGACTATGTTTTCATGCAAATGTGCTTCTCCATCTCTGAACGGAAAGTCTGTATCTATTGATTTCATCATTCTTTGTTTTTCAATTTCCTTCAACAAGGATTTCTTGAAATTCTAAAAGATGCCACTGTCCTCGGTGGGCTGGAACTGCAGCTATGTTGTAAATACCGTTATTTACCTATGCTGAGAATCCTGGCAATCTCAGCCCCCCGGATGACAGACATGGAATCATTGTTCCTTAGAGAAAAAGAACTAATTCTCAGAGAATAACTGGCTTCGTGAAGCCGACGCAGGAGGGGCGCAGGCACTTTGTGGTCAGAGTTAAACATGTAATGTCACGTGAGACCGCCTTCCAGATGTAACGGAATCGGCGGCCAGGTCGTCGTCACGGTCTCCGCTTTTCGTTACTTATCTCGCCGCCGTCCTCGTCCACTCAACAGTGGCTGCGCCTCACACGCCAGGGGCTGAGGAGACTGGGTGCTGCAGGTGTCAGAACTTCCAGCTTACGTGTCACCTCCACTCGCCTGGGAGGTCTGTGACAGCAGAAGCTGCCTCTTTCCCCCACGGAGTCCACATGCCAAGGCCCAGGCCCCGAGCGCAGGACGACTCACTAGAGTCCACGGGCCGCATGTGACCCATCACCTGCCTCCGAGAGCAAAGTTCCAGAGCGACACAGCCGTGTTCATTCCTCTACGTGCTGCGTGCGGCTGCTGCAGGGGGCAAGTTGAGCAGCTACAACAGAGTGTGGCTCCTAAAGCGCAGCTGGCCCCGCGCAGGAAAGTCTGGCGACCGTCGGTTACCGCATGTAAGATCTCCAGGCCTAAGAACTCTCACTAAATGTTCGAGGAAGGATGGACGGTGCAGACGCAGGAAGAAGGCAGAGGCACCGCGTTGTCGGCAAGCAGAAGAGTTACCCACCTATCTGGCAAACTCACGAGAGCTTCAACTAGTAAATAACAGCGATGCTGCACTATTAATGATTATACACAGCGAAGCCTGCATCCCTGATGCCCAGGGTCATGTGACATGCTCAATACTCCGGCACATAATTATGTTAATAATTATAAAAATCTGGGTGAAATAAAAAATTTTCTCAAAAAAGGAAATGAATTTAGGAGTTGAAAAGTCTAAATAGAATCAGAATCATAAAGCCGACTGAAAAATTATCAAAGAATTATTCCTCATAAAAGGAATCAGCCCCAAATGATTTCAAATATAAATCGTTTAAGAATCTTCAATAAATAATTCCCATCCATTTAAACTGTTCTAAGTTCAGAAAGAACTTCTCCAGTTATTTTTACAACCCCAGCTATGCCATTGACACCGAAAACTGGCAAAGATACTAAAGAAGAAAATTACACACCAACTTTCCTCTGAAACAGAGGAAACATCATAAATAAATATTAGCAAACCAAACAGGAATAAGTTAATATCACAATATGTTTAAATTATACTTTATCCATAACTGTTCATTATCATAAAGTCTATTGTTATAATTCACAATAACAATAAAACAAAGGAGATAAATCCCATGATTATCTTTATGGTTGTCAAAAACATATGCAATGAAATTCACTTTATATGAAATACACCGTATCAACAGAATAAACATCAAAAACCACATGATCATCTCAATAAATGCAGAGAAAATGGATATTGATAAAACTTGAAATCTAATTATGGCTAAAACACTCAAAAAACCTAGGAATAGAACGGACGGAGCTTCCTCAATCCGATGAAGGCCACCTACAAAAATTCACAGCAAACCGCATACTCAACACTAAAAGACAGACACATCTGCTCCAAGATCAGCAGCAAGACAAGGATGTGCGCTCCCTCAACCCCTAGTCTCAACCCCTAGACAAGGATGTGCACTCTCTCAGACTCTTGCCTCTCAACCCCTAGACAAGGATGTGCACTCTCTCAACCCCTAGTCAACACTGGCCTAGACGTTCGAGGCAGGACGACTATGCAAGGAAAACAAAAGGCATCCAGATTGAAAAGGAGAAAGTAAAACTATCACTAGTGATAGTTGACATGATTCTGTATATAGAAAACCATAAAGACTCCACCAAGAAGCTACTGGAGTCATGACTGCATCAAGGTTGCAGGATACAAGATCAAACTACAAAAATCAATTTTATTTCTATACATTTTCAATAAAAATCTGAAAATAAAGAAAACAACTCCTTTTATGACAGCATTAAAAATAAAAATACTTAGGAATAAACTTTACCAAAATTAGAGTAATAGCTGTATTCTAAAATTTACAAAATACTGATGAAAAAAATGAAGATGATCGAAATAAAAGGAAAAACGTCCCATGTTCACGTATTGGAAGGCTTGATATGGTTAAGATGGCAATGCTCCCCACACTCATCTACAAATTAAATACAGTTCCTACCAGAATCCCACCTGAATTCTTTGGATAAACTGACAAGCAGATTTCTCAAATTCACATGGAATTACAAGGGTCCCTAAACGGCCAAAAGATATTGAAAAAGAAGAACAAATTAGGAGGGCTCACACTTCCAGACTTCAAAACTTTCTACAAAATGACAGTTATCAAGGTGATGTGGACAGAACTGCAGACCAATGGAACGGAACCGAGGGCCTGGCACTCAACCCATCTCTGACAAGACCACTGAAGGTCAACACACGGTGCTGGTAAAACCAGATACCCGCATGCAGAAGAATGAACTTGGACCCTTATACAGATTAACTATCATAGATCAAAAACCTAAACGTAAAAGCTACAGCTATGAAACTCTTACCAAAAAAATGAGAGTAAATTTTCATCACCTCTGATTTGGCACTGGCTTCCTGGTATGACACTACAAGCATGAGCAACAAAGACAAAAACAGGTCACTGGACTTCATCGAAATTAAAATCTTCTGCGCTTCAGGAGATACTATCGAGAAAGTGAACAGAAAACCCAGAGATGGGAGAAAACACTTTCCAGACAAGATCAGATTAGGGAGCTGCATCGGAACACACGAGGGACGCTCACAACTCAATGAGAGACGACAAGGAGCTCCATTACCAAGTGGCCACAGGATCGGAACAGACATTTCTTCGGCGTGGATGGATATACGAATGGCTAAGAAGCCCATGAAAAGGTGTTTGATATCTTCGGTCACTAGAGAAACGGCCATCAGACAACTGAGAGAGAGAGCACTCCACATCCAGGACGATGACAGCTACTAGTCAGACAGCAAGTGGGGCTGGCGGCAGCGCGGAGATTCGAGCCCATGCGCAGTGCCAGTGAGAAATGAGACGCTGTGCCTGCCTTGGGACACACTCAGGCGGCTCCCCAAAGAGCTAAACGAAGAAGCATCAGATGACCCGCCTTTCCATTCCTACGTGTGCACCTGACACACTGGAAACAGGTCTTCAAACAAAACTGCACACGAATGGTCAAAGCTGCACTGTTCGCATTAGCCAAAATGTGAAAATAATCCAATGTCCATCAGCTGATGAATGGATAAAAGGTGTGGTCTGTCTGTCTATTCAACAGGACGTTACTGGACCATTCAAAAGAATAAAGTACCGACACGCTACCTCATGGATAAACTTTGAAAATGTTACGCTAAGTGAAAGAAACCAGGCACAAACGGCCACATAGCAATGACTCTGCTCACGTGAGATGTCTAGAACAGGCGAGTCCACGGAAAAAGAACGAAGTGTGGTTGCTTGGGACTGGGAGGTGGACAGGATAGGACATAAGGTGAAGGATGGAATGGAGTGTCTTTCTGAGGAAGTGAAAATGTTCAAAAACTGACTGCTGAGGGCTGCACGCACCTGCGACTATACCAAGACCCACTGCGTCGGACACTGCGTGGGCGAGAACCACGGTATGCGAATCAGACCTCAATCACGATGTTTTTCAAAAGGCACTATTAATAATACAAAGCCTAGTCAATAAGCGCTCCTTGTACCCCTAGCATAAACTCTGTCGGTCCACATATATCCTCATTTTTATATTCTTTTTATATACGTTTCACTGTTTTATAAATTCCTTAAATTTTGTCATAACCAAATACATTACTTTTTACTATGCAATCAAGAGTTCTCCTTTTTGTCCAAATAAAACCATCAATGTAACTAATTATGTAAAAAATGTGCTGAGAGTAACGAGCTTTAACGTTACTCTCTAATTCCTTAGTAAACTTTGTCTCCACGAACCAGGGACCGCACCGTATCCCATCCTCCCTGCCATGAAATCAAAGAGCGATGGTCAGTGAGCGTCATGAAATCGGGAGATGAGGCAACCCCTTATGGACAAGATTACTGTATTTTGAGAATGACCAAGCAAATGGGAAACAGAAAGTCCATTTCTCAAATCATACGAGACAGCATGGATGGGACCAAGCGAGCCGGGCCTCCCTGGACGCCACATACACATCGCTCTGACTAAAGGAAGCCACGTCGTCAGGGGCGTCTCGCCAGGGCACCGAAGTAGCCACACAGGGAAACATGGATAAAACTCTACTTTGTGTGGCTTTCAGCCTACGAGTCTCTAGAAGATGGGAACGATGAAGATGTAACTAAGCAGATTTAATTAAGCAGAATGGACCTCAACATCAGTTGAGAATTCCCCACACAGCCATATGCAAAGGTATTGTGGAGACTATAAAAAGAAACTATATGTTTTCAAAGCATAGCTCACCACTAAATAATGAAAAACTCATGAGACATTTTCCCAAAATGTTGTTCGAAACTCTCCAAAATTAATAGAAGTGACCAAAAAATCAAGGTGGCACCGTCAGATCACTAAGTATCACCTTTTCATCTATTTACGTCTAATATAGTAAAATGTTCCACCACATATTAGGACATGAATCTAAGGTTAAATAAAACCATTTTCAAAAGAAAAGGCACCTACCATTATGTGTTCAAGTAGAGAATCTATTGCGACTATGTTATCAAAATATGTCCTGAAAAAAAGAGACATAAAACCTGTAAGGATCTTGTTCAGAACACAGAAAATATTAAACTTTGACTACATTTCCCACCTTTGTCTACATTTAAATAAAACACATAAAGACATACGTTTGATTTTTGTCATCTTATGGAAACAAGTGATATTATTATTTTAAAGGAATAAATGAAACTTAACCATTGTCTTTATCACGAGGACTCTAATTTCAGAGAATGCATAAAATAATGATTTTTTTGGTAAGTATCAATGTAGAAAGTTTGTAGCATTTAACGAAAACTATGACGGAATGAATTGGGTTCACCATATTTAATATTTTCATGAAGAACTTTGATCTGAAATAAAAAAATTTAAATTTGCTAAATCTCATTAATACGGTTAAAATGTAGATTATCACTGAAAAACCGGCAAGTTAAAAAGTCGTTTAACTGTACTAAGAAAGCACTGCAGTCCCTCTGAGGATACCAGCACGCACGCAATGAGGAGGGCCGACCGCCCTCGCCGTGAGACACCGTGCTGTTAGGAGCGGCAAGCGGTTTGGAGCATCTGGTCTACACAGTAGAGTGCAAAGCTGATAAACAGATGCACCGGTGGATATGCACATAAGCCGGCGTGCAGTGCAAGAACACGTACAGAGACTAGATCTGTCGGCAGCTACTGCTTTCAGTTTGGGTTTGTGCGAGTTTAGCGGGCCCTATAATTAAGGTAACGTGTGGTAAGTGAGGCACACACCTTCCACGTAAAGCCGGAGTGCCCGCGGGCTGGGCACGTGGAGGGTCCCGCCGCGAGGACGGCGGCAGAGAGCGAGAGAGACAGAGACAGAGAGAGCGAGAGTGAGAGAGAGAGAGACAGAGCGAGAGTGAAAGAGACAGAGACAGAGACAGAGAGAATGAGAACGCAGCCCGCATCGCTGCAGGCAGCTGGAGGACAGCAGGTGCACGTCCCCTGTCACAGGCTGGCAGGGGGACGTGGCCGATTTTCAGATTTTGAGGATTAAGTCGAGGGTCGGGAGATGTGCCCTGTGCTGACAAACCCCACGTGAACCGGGAATGTCACGGGCTCCCAGAATCGCTCCCTCCGCCGGCCCAGGGGACTTTTTCTAGGTCAGGGAAGTGGGGCGTTTTCTCTACAATGAAATCTGAGCTACTGCACATGGGAAAATTTAAATAACAGTATTAACAATACGTTTTCATTTACGGACATCTGTGGAAAACACCAGAGAGAACTTTTTGGAAAAAAATAAACGAACATTTCCTCTCCTTCCACTGTCAGTTTTGTCCCACAAGAAAAGACAGAAAAATACCTGGTGTCTTTAAAATGCTCTAGTGACTCTAAATAGAAAATACACAAATGAAAGAGCACAAATGAGGCCCAGTCACTTGCAAAGGGAACGTGGATGCGACCGCCACTCCGTGGGCACAGATGTGGCTCGCCGTCCGTACCAGGCTGCGTGCAGTGGGGTCAGCGAGGGCGGCGCGGGGTGGCCTGTCATTGCCAGGCCCTCCCCTCTACCGCACCACCGAGCAGTGAGAGCTACTACATCCCCAGACACCAGCACTTACTTGGACACGTCGAGGAGAAAGTCATTCAATTCGGTCTGCTTGGCAAGGCCTCTGCATACCTGCCGCATAAAATAATGGCTATTAATTAGGAGAGATGTTTGCATATTTAAAAATAAAACTTCCAGAATACTTACCCTATTTTATTTTAAAAGGCAGACAGGATCACTTTGTTTATAATGTCATAATAATATCAATAACAATTCACTTTTATCGAACGCTTAAATGCACCGAGCACTTGCTATTCTCATCCAAACACTACCAACGCGCAGGTGTGGATGCCCCGTGCTCGCGAGGCACGGGGCGGTGAGGGCCTTGCCCGGCCTGCAAGGCCACGCGCGGCGCGGCGCGGCCCTTGGATCGGACTGTCTGCCCCCAGAGCCGCTCTTCAGAACAACGTTGCGTTTTTAAATACCGTGTGTGGGCACACAGAGCGCCCAGGCTGCACACTGTCGCATCCCAAGGCCTCAGGGTCTTACAGCTACACAAACCTTTTCTTGCCCAGTCCCCCCTTTGCCCGAGTTTGCAGAAATGGACTCAACAAAACAGCAACAAAAGGAAGTGGAAGACACGAGGCAGAGTCGCACGGCTGCCGTGATCTTGAACTTCAAAAGCCTAGTTAGCGGGAAAACGCCATGCAGTCTGCGATCTTTCAGAGCAGGTCATTCTTTCAAGAGAACCAGGTATCTTCAATTTAAGACCAGTGTTTTCACATAGCATTTAGTTTAGAGGGCGCTTTCACTTAGGAAATGGAGTCATAAACGTATCAACGCTAAGGCCAGTGGGAAGTCGTGCCTGGTCTTTCGGTGGAAAACAAAAACCAAAATAGGACACGTGCCTTTGCTGCATGAGTGATATGCAATTATGTGTAAACACGTAAAAATAACCGCAAGACAGTTCAGGCGGAGAGGGGGTGAATGCAAGGGCGCAGGCACTGACTGCAGGAGTCACGAAGCCTCCGCTGTCCGGGCACAAAGCGCCAGGCTGCTTGCCGCCCACCTGATGACCCCCTCCCGACCCCGCCCCCGCCCCCACGGGAAGCCTGGGACCTTCCCAAGACTCACCTGCACCTGATGAATCGCTACTGAAGCCCAGGCAAGATTTGCCGTTGCGACCTGAGGAGGAAGAGTGAAACACGTTTTTCTCAGTCACTGCAGATATCACAACGCAGGACTTCAGCATAAACATATTTCGAGAATTTTCTGAGGTCATCACACTTCTGACTATTTCGCCAAACACAAAGCATTGGACGTGCACGAGATTTCTCTGTGACATTTCCCCTTTAAAACTGGGTTTAATGCTCCCTTGTTACTCTTAATTTTGGATAAAAAGATAAACTGACCAAGAGAGCTAAAGTCCCGTGATTTTAACACAAAATATTTTCGGCTTAGCAAGAATTCTGTTAAAAAGCCTCTAATAACCACTCTCCATGCTGAAATATTTCTTAAACTTCGCTGATGGGTCCCCAAATGACTATTCTACTTCTTCCATTATTCATCCATTGAACAAACATTTACTAGGCCCTACTAGGGACCAGGCGCCATTCTTGATGCTGGAGACACAGCATCAACAACAGACAGCTCGCTATGGGGAGAGGGGAAGGCACGAAAGAAAACAAGCGAGAACAGACTCTTGCCCGGGGACGAGGGCCAGAGAGGAAAAGAGGTGCCACAGACAGGGCACCGGACAGGCAGGGCACCAGGCGGACAGGGCACCGGACAGGAGCTGCTCAAGCCCACATGCAGCGTTCAGGGAAGGCCTGGCTGGGAGGGTGACGGTCAAGGACATCACTGAAAGCGGTGGCTGGAGCTGGGACACCACAGGCTCTGCTGGGGCCCCGTCCGCCTTGCTCAAGGGTCTGGTGTGGCGGGAGGGAGGGGATGTGCCGTCCAGGTAAATGGACAGGGCGCAAACTGCGGGGCTGGGGCACGTACTGGCATGGCAGCGCGCAGCGATGCTTGGTTTCAGTATGCACCAGCCAGTTCGGGGAACAATGAACGGAGCTCACTGCTTTACAAGTGCATGTGATGCCAGAACGTACTCAGGGAAGATGAGTGTTAAGAAAACATAAAGACCACCAGGATGTGAAAACTCCCAGTCATCTACTACGTTATCTGACTCACGACATGGCATACTTTTATTTTTATTATGAAAATGGGTTCTTACTAAAAATAAAAAAAAAAAAGCCTGCATTTCCAGTTTAACCGGTCTCCTCTCTAAACTACAAAACAAACAAAAAAAAGTTTTTAAAATTCATTAGCATTAGCATCAAAACGCTGTTAAGCAAACTGGTTTTAAACACTGATCCATTTATTCATTCGTGGGTGGTGCTAACGAGCTCCTCCAGGGGCAGGGCCCACAACGGTCCCGACCAGCAACCAGCCTCACCTCCTGATGGCTCAGGCAGAAGGCCTCCTTGCCCCAGTGGCGGTACAGCTCCAGGATGCCGATCAGATCGCCGATCGCGGTGACAATCGGCAGGCAGAGGACCGACTGGATCCGCGTCCCTGACTCCAGGCCAGTGCCTTTGGGAAATCGTTCATCCTGAAAATAAAATGGAAAAAGATATGAATTTAGTTAAAGAAATGGAATCATCAGATTGTGATTCTTATTTCTATCAGAAATCGCCTAATACTTGTCAATAATATGCGGTTCTTTTCGAAGGAAAACCAAGAGAGATGGGCAGTATAAACCATCTTTAGGAAACGCTTCTCTTCAGCAGCACGGAACCTACACCCAAATCCTGCCCTGAGGCTTCTTCACCTTGGTGCAGTGGAACTGAATGAATGAATGAACGCATGAAGGAGTGAGTGAGTACTTATCAATTTCACCGGATAGCAGATGCTAGCACTCACTCACTCATCACCTTCTGCTGTGTCAGAACCTTTCCAAGGGCTTCGCAGGTACAATGTCACAGGTGAAAACTACTCCAAATGCAAACACCATATGAAGGAAAATATATGTAAAGCTTTTTCTACTTTTAAGGTTCGAATAACACAAAAGTGGATGTTAATGACAGTCATTCTAACTGGACCTCAAAGACTTATGTTAAATATTCAAACCAGCGAATAATTTTCAATTACTTATCATAAGAAATGAAATTGGTTCTTTGATTTGAATAATTTTCTATTAGCGAAAGCGCTCAAAGGAATATAGGAACTCATGAATTAATATCAAAACACCAATGCTATTTATTCAGTTTGTACTGTCTGTAAGGAAGCTTTTCATGAATCAAGACTGGTACAAGTCTATACTTGTAATTTACTGTTCTTTTGAAAGTTTGCATATACAACAGACCATTTTCAAGCGACAGCTTACACAGTATCTACTTTTAACACTTACTTTTAAAAACTGAAACGCATTGGACGCATAACACTGCGTTTAACACTGTGCGGCTGAAGGCGCACGTGTCGCTGATACATCTGGATACTGTGATATGACTGCCACGTATGTAGTTAGCACCTCCACCACAGCACGTAAGTGTCTTTTCTCTTTTGTGCTGGGAAAAACTACGATCTAGTATCTTAGCAAATTTGATAATTAGAATATAATGCTGTTGTCTATGTTCACTAAACTATGCAACAATTATTTTTAACTGCTTTACTTTTTCTTTCTTGCCTTTTTTTTTTTGGATAAAATAACTAGTTACCTGAGTTGTTCAAGGTCATAATTAGAGGCAAAACCAAAATTAAAACCTAGATTCCATGACTAGTAATTTTCAGAGCAAGTTCATTACCCCTAGATGCTTGTTTGTACACTCGTCAGTTTTAAAGGCTAAGCTCACCGTGACATTTTGCCACAGTTTTCACAGGTACTGTGGAAGACTGCATTAAAGGCTCCATTTTGTCGCTTTCCCTGTCCCCATGTCCTTTATCGGCATCGTCCGAGACTGAGTGTGGGCCTGTCTCCGTGATGTGCTCTGGCCAATGAGAGGGCAGAAGCTCGGACACGAGCAGAGGCTTGGAAACTCACTTGCATGTTTCCACTTCTCTAGCGCCCCTGCCACCACCACGAGAACACGCCAGGCTTCGCTTACTGGGGAGGTGGGGTGCAGGGGGGAGATGCACATGGAGAGCTGCGGCCATCTGAGCCCAGCCAGCTCCTCAGTGGTGGCCAGCGGACCGCACATGTGTAAGCGAGCCCAGCCAAGTATCAGCAGAAGGCCCAGTCCGCAGACTCCTGAGAAACAGCAAGTGGCTGCTGTACGGCGCGAGAAGAATTTGGAGTGGTCTGTCACAGCAATAGGTGGCTCATTCATGTCTATCCTGCTCGGATGTGAAACCAAACCGTCCATGTGCTGTTTGCATGAATATAAACATGCACTGTTGTGCTGAATTATACTGGCAGGTATTGAACTAAAAACTATTCCAGTCTAGCTCTTCGTGGGTATATAAGATATGGTTTTCTGAGTGCAAAGAATTTGTTTACATACCAATTTATTTACTGACCTGTATCTTAATGCTTGAATAAAATGGCTTAAATTACAACATCAAAATGACACATCATCTTTCTTAATACTTCAGATTACAAATGGCACAACTGGTAAAAAGCCATGTATGTACCCCAAGGATGTCTTCCACGAGCAACGTCTTCCGGGACTTGGCCACGTAGGCGGAGGTGGTGGTGCCCTGGGCGATGGGGCCCGCAGGAACGAGCCGGGGTCTCCCTTCCTTGACTCCGGGCGGGGTGAAGATGCACAGGCTCTGGCAAGAAGAAGCGGCACGCTTTACACACCTTCCCGTACTGCGGCTCGGCGCAAAGAGCCTCCTAGATATCACGCGACGGTCACGAGAAACCTGGGAGCCAAGGAAGGGCCACTGGAGGAGGACAGGGGCTCGGCAGTGAACGGGAGCAGCTGGTGAGATTCTCTCGCATATTTGCGACGCACACAAAATACGGGCTAGATCCAGGACTTCGGTGAATGTCTGCGCACTGAAAAGCTCTTAACGTAGCCTCCTATTCTGATACAGAGAAAATAAGATGAAAAATGTAAACTGTCCTTGGGCTCAAGATGCCATCAGGGGAAGAATCGGGCGCACCGTGGGCTAGCCCCCCTGCAGGCCTGGCATACGGGTCTGGAGGAAACGTCTGTAGCTATAGGTCAGCGTGATCGGTTGTTTTTCATTTTCAGTGAAAATGTTCCTTTCTCAGAACATTATTCCTTTTTTTAATATTCAAGTCACTCCACTCCTTAAAACTGGCCTGCCTGTAAAAGTACGGAGCACACTCTTGATAAAAAACCTTGCTCTTCTCTGCACGAAAGATTTTGGCCAAGTCTGGGTATAGCTACCCTTTCAAGGGACTGGGTGGGAAGGTAAAGTTCTGACATTATTTGAAAATAAACGTTTTTAAAAACAAGGTCAGGACGGGGTTCCATGGTGTAGCAGAGCACATCTGCTTTACACGCAGAAGGTCCCGAGTTCGTGCCCCAGTGGAATCACGGTCCCTGGTCTACGGCCGCGCCACCTTGAACAAGCCCGATGTCTGATCGCGTGAAGCTAAGCAGGGTCAGGCCTGGTTAGTACTTGGATGGGAGACCACCTGGGAAGCCCAGGTGCTGCAGGTGTAAATAATAAAATAATAATTAATTTAAAAATAAGATCAGCTATTCTGACTGAATCAAATCACATTTTTAAATAAATATCTACTAAATAAGAATTGCTAATCAGAACAAACCATCTAGGGTTTGGAGGCAGCATTTCAACCTAATGGTATGATTATCTCCGCAATGTGAAGATTATTAAGGTTCGGGTGTGTTCTCCCAGCACCCCCATACCTTGGAGTGTTGCAACTTAAAGGCTGGAGGCCTTTCAAAGCAGTAAGCGTGAGACAGTCCTCTTAAGCTACACATGGCCGTTTTATATACTGGCCACTACCAAGCTATTTCTAGGTGAAGACGGTGAGTTGAGTGTGTGTGTTAACTTGTTAGGTAAGTTCTTTTCGAGCTTTGTAATGACAAAGAACCCTTTTTTCAAATAAAATCTTATGCGCGATCACGAGAGCGAACCCTAAATCCCCGAGCTCCTTCGCTGACCAGGAGCAGCGACGCTGCGTCCCGGCTGCTTTCAGCGGATCACCGCAATTCAAAGACTAAAAGCTAAATCCAAAATACTTCTATTCACAAGTATATCTATCTACATCAGCTGGCACTGTGCTTAAGTAGTATTTACTATTAAGTACGAGGCCTGTGAAAATACATTTTAAGTATGTCTTTTAAAAGAATTAAGTTTAAAAACGTTTAAACACAAGTTATACACTTTAAAAAGGTTTTTAAAATGTAACTATATAAGATGACAGTTTCACCTTATTTATTCTTAAAGCCGCCAGAAATCAGAATCACTGGTTTTAAAGTTACTATGCTTCTATCACGCAGCAACATACATGACAGGTAAAGTAAGATGTTCCTTAGTGTTTGTAGCTAATTGTCGCAATGCAATTCAGTGTGTCTTAAGGCTGAGTAGAAAAATGATTCAAGAACAGGAAGAGAGATGACTGCAAGGCAAAAAGCTGGAAGGACATGGTACACTGAGCCAGAGATCTTCTCAAAGGACGAGGATGCTGGCCTGAGGCAGCGTGCCACGTGGTGTCCCTCACCCTGCCAGAGACAGGACTGCATGGACGAGCTTACGCTGAACTGCGTGGTGCACGTAAGTCTTACAGAAGAACTCCCGTGACAGTAATGGAGAGTAAGCGCGAGCAAGCTCCCAACAGTGGCGTTTTTATTTTTATTATTTTTATTTTTTAATGGCCATTGACTTGGTTATTTGAAGATACACAATACACATCTTTTTGGGGTGACTTTGCTGTATTTGCGTTAAGGTTGGATTTAATAATATCTTCAAGTTATCCTTAGTATCCCAATTCAATAATGACAGAATAGCTTACACACTCCTATGTTATTAGATCATTTACTGAAAATTATTAAACATTCACTGCCTCTGTACAGGGTTTCCGTATGATCTTGAGAAACAGATAAGCAAATACTGGGCTGAGAGGACATAAAAAGCTATTCTCTATGTTAGGCTTGCTGAAAATAAATGGTTTACGAATCATTCACTTACTTACTAAAACTGAAAAACTCCTTGTGGATAAGTAATTGTCAAAAAGTTAAATACTTTTCCACCATGGGAACGTTATACGTCTGTTACTAACAAGCTCGTGATTTTTTATCCTATTTACCAAATAGGAATGCCTTCTGATGAGAGTCGAGGCCAAAAGCTAACTAAATATTGAGTAATGTCACAATGTCATATGAAGGCCCAAGGCTCGGGCAGGAGGCAAAGTGAGGGCCAACGCAAGACAGACACCTGTCTCTGACATCCTCATGGTCTCTCATTCTCTCCTCCGTATTACTGGTCTCTTACACGTCTTTGGGAGTTGGGTGTTTTTTTAACTCCATAAAATTCACCTGGGGAAAAGCCTCCTGCGTAACGCTCACTGCCGACTGAAGACCAAGCTCTGGTCCCAGTGTGCGGTCTGTCACTGCATGTTCTTTACGCTCTTTGCGGTCGAACAGAGTGGCAGGCAGCCATCATCACACACAGAACATGTCAGTACGAAACCTCTCCGTTATAGGCTGAATTTCACATGTATTCGAGGATGGGGAAGGCTCGTTGCATCTACCTTCATTCATTCCCCAGGAATAACCGAACAGCTGCGCACTTAGTTCTCTTTTTCCCACTGTTCGAACCGCCCCCCTCAGCACACACTCGACCCCCAAGTACACCTGCGTCTTTCTCTACACCCCTAGTTCGGAGCCCTTTGCTTGATTTGTCTACCGTACTGTGTTACTTACTATAAGTCTACAGTTCCTTTTGTGATCTGCCAAGGCGAGTCTTGCTGTTTTAGAATACGACTATGTATTTTATAGGATACGTCTTGCATTTTCCATTGAAGGGCCTGCCTTGATGCATTAACAAACGATAGATACAAATAAGTTTAAAAACTTACTTGTTTTTAAACTTATTTTTCAAAATCAAGCAAAATGATTTTTGACATAAGGATGTGACTGGGATGTTCAAATTAATAAGATAAAAAATATACTCAGTATATAATATAATATACTCGGGTGAATGAAAACTAGTTTTTATCAAATATCACTAGAGAACATTTCAGAATATGTTAAGAATATTCTGCATACATCTATCATATCTAATTTGCCTATAAAATCA